AGACCTCTTCTCCCCCAAGGATGCTCCCATCCTCTCCCGCCCCCAGAGAACCCCCGCCTCGCGCCCTTCCCTCCCCAGAGCGCTTCCGCGACGCCCCCTCCCCCAGGACGCCTCCCTCAGCGATTTCCCCTCCCCCAGGACGGCCCTCGCGCTCTGTCCTCGCCCACAGAATCCCCACCCCGGACGACCCCTCTGCGACTTCTCCTCTCCCAAGTATGGTCCCCCCTTCCTGCCCCCGCGACCCCCCAGATCTCCACTTCCCTCCCCTCCCCCAGAATGGCTCCTCTCTCCCCGCCCCCACGATTTCTCTCCTCCGCTTCCCGCCCCCACGACGCCCCCCGCGACGGCCTTCTTCCTTCCCGTAGAACGTCCGCTCTCTCTATCCCCTGGATGGCCCCCAGTGCCCCTTGTCCGCCGGGTCCCGGCGGGGGCAGGGGCCCGCAGAGGAGTCCCGGGCGGACAGTCGCCCGGAACGCACCCGGAGGCCGCACAATGGTGTCGCCGCCGCCCGACCGCGGCGTCACTGTGCGCGGGTCGCCCACCCGCTGGGGTTTGGAGTGGGGGCGGGGCGCGTCGCGCCTAGACCACGGGGGTTGTCTGGTGTGGCAATGGGGCAGCTCCCGAAGGCCGGTTTGCTCGTCACTTGCCCGTGGGTGGGAGGGGACAGCTGGCTTTAGAAACCAGGCCCTGCGGGGAGGGGAGAGGTGGGGTAAGGCGTCTGGAGTGTCCCTGGGGTCTTCATAGGCCGAGGAGCGAGAAAACATTCTCACGTGCTTTTGGAACGCATTAAATATCTGGGGCTTCAGGTCTGAACGAATACTGCGTCCGGATGGAAGTAGCTAGACGCGCTGAGTTTAAATCGTTTTCCTACCCTAATCCGGACTCTTAGGCTTATCTTCTGGTGACAGACCCGGGTAGGCTCCGGGAGACTTAGACTTGGGGCTCTCGATCAGTTCAGGATGTTTTCTGGGCTTGCCGAGGCAGAGGGTGGTCCGCACTCCGCAGAAGATGGACGGGCTCTTCCTCTGCTTCTTAGAGAACAGTCTGGTGGACCTAGGTCTGCAGAAATGGGCTCTTTGTGCACCAGGCCAGGGACACTGCCGGTGAGGATCTCTGCGTGGAGGCGTCCTGAGGCTGCTCCCGTCAGGGGGAGCTCCGGGCGTTCAGGATGCAGACAGGCCTCCTGGAGCTGAGACCGCACTTCTATGCTGCGGGAGATGTTTCAGCGTAGACGCTGCTCCTGTCACTCCTGGTGCTGCACCTGACGGAGGTTCCATTAGAGAGGCTGCGCCCCCACCCCCAGCACTCAGCAGGAGTTGTGCTTGTAGTCTGGGGACACTGCTGTCAAGCCCCACTCCACCCCTGAGAGCCTGTAGGGAAAGACGGGGGCTCCTGAGCCCTGCCTGTTGGGGCAGCGGCTCGGGTTCTGCAGCTCAGGATTCCCTCGTACACAGTGGCCGATCAAGTTCTGGGTCCTCTTCTCCCGTCGTTGGTATTTCTGAAACAGCTTTTCCAAGGCTGCTGGTGGGAAGAAGGGAGGGGGTCAGCACAGCTCGGGGCTTTTCTCCCAAAGAGCCTCGCTCCCCAGGGGGGACTGTGGGGAGGTTTCTGTCGCCGTTGAACTCAGGCTGAGTCCCCAGGAACCCTGCACGTTGGGGTGTTTGCGCTAGAGAAGGAATGTCATAAGACTGTCAGCTGTGAGGGTGCTCCTCGTGGAGCTCCGCCCACTGGCGTAACTCTGTAGGTGTTGTCCCCTGAAAGTTGGGGGGGGGTGCCGAGTAAGCGGTGCATTGTGGGATCAGGGTGCCGTGTGTGGATGGTGCTCAGGGCAAGGGGCCCGCTGAGTCCTTGAAGAAGAGGCGGGAGCTGTCATGCTGGAGAGCTGATTGAGTGCGCCGGGCCGAGGACGACAGTTTAACGCTGGTCTTTCTTATCTCTCGAGTGAGGTCCTTTGGTACAGAAGACCGCCCCACAGATAGGCCTGCCCCACCAAGAGAGGAGATTTACGAGTATATCATTTTCCGTGGAAGTGACATCAAAGACATCACTGTGTGTGAACCTCCAAAAGCACAGCACACGCTCCCTCAGGATCCTGCCATCGTACAGGTAAGCGTGTCGCTGTGGGGCGTGGCTGTTTGTCACCTGTCTGGCCTTTTAACGCAATGGGAAGGGGGTGGGTGTGGTTGAGGCTGTTGATGTTCCTGTGGAAGGTCTGGATCCAGGCAGCTTTCAGGAGGTGGCTGTGTTGTCAGCTGGGCCCGGGGAAGGAGGCCTGTGTGTGTGTGTTTCTATGTGGGGGGGTGTGTGTGCTGTCACCTGGGCCCAGGAAAGGAGGCGTGTGTGTGTGTGGCGTGTACTGTCAGTTGGGACCAGGGAAGGAGGCCTGTGTGTCTGTGTGTGCTGTCAGCTGGGCCCGGGGAAGGAGGCGTGCATGCACGCGTGTGTGTGTGGCGTGTACTGTCAGCTGGGCCCGGCGAAGGAGGCCTGTGTGTGTGTGTGTGTGTGTGTGTGTGTGTGTGTGGTGTGTGCTGTCAGCTGGGCCTGGGGAAGAAGGCTTCTGTGTGTGTGTGTCTGTGTGTGTGTGTGTGTGTGGTGTGTGCTGTCAGCTGGGCCTGGGGAAGAAGGCTTCTGTGTGTGTGTGTCTGTGTGTGTGGCATGTGCTGTTAGCTGGGTCTGGAGAAGGAGGCGTGTGTGTGTGTGTGTGTGTGGTGTGTGCTGTCAGCTGGGCCTGGGGAGGAAGGCTTCTGTGTGTGTGTGTTTCTGTGTGTGTGTCTGCGTGTGTGGCATGTGCTGTTAGCTGGGTCTGGGGAAGGAGGCCTGTGTGTGTGTGTGTGTGTGTGTGTGTGTGGTGTGTGCTGTCAGCTGGGCCTGGGGAGGAAGGCTTCTGTGTGTGTGTGTTTCTGTGTGTGTGTCTGTGTGTGTGGCATGTGCTGTTAGCTGGGTCTGGGGAAGGAGGCCTGTGTGTCTGTCGCTGTCTGTTTGTTGGTCTGTCTCTTTGTGTCCACGCGTGTCTTTCTTTGTGTGTGAATCTCTACGTGTGTCTCTGTCCATGTCTTTTTCTGTCTGTCTTTCTGTGTCCGTGTGTGTCTTTCTGTGTATACGTCTCTGTGTCCACGTGTGGAGACGCAGTGTCTCTTGTTTGGTCTTGGCTGCCTGGGTAACAGTGTTAGTGCCTTGTTTTTGGTGGGACTGACTCGAAGCCCAGATGAGTGGAGTGAAATGAGTGGTGTGAGAGATGCTAGCGGGGTAGCAGCCTTGCTCTCCCAGTGCCATCCAGATGCTGAGTTCTGTGTCTAGGACACTGAGTTTGCAGGCCTCGTACCAGGTGCTTGCCTGTTACACTGCGGCAGTGTGCTCTGACTGGGAGTACGAGGGGCCCAGGTTGATGCTTCCTTCGCTTGTTAATTGTGATGGTTACCGGCTCCCCTGGCTTCATCCTGTGCATCCGCCTGGAAGGTGGAGCACAAGGAGCAGCACCTGGACGAGACGGCTGACAGGTTGGAGGGTAGGTGGGCCAAGCGTCAGGGACAGGAAGTAGCAGGCGAAGGGGGTGGGAAGGCCTGGCCAAGGCAGCAGTGCTCCCAGAGGCACGGGGGCAGGCCAGAAGGGGGCCACTCGGGAGCTGCAGGCAGTTCCCCAGCTATGCGCTCCAGCTGTGCGTGCATTGGGGGCACGCAGCTGAGAGATGGGCAGGGCCAGCCCTGCTCTGAGCACCACGAGACTACCTGGAGCAGTGGGGGGTGGGGGGCGATGGAGGGTCTTCATCAGGTTGGGGTAATTCTCATAGTTACACAAATGGGGGAGCTGGGGAAGAAATTGTGTGGCAAAGGCAGTTTTCACTTTGCGCAAAGCGTCCTGAAGCTCAATTCTGGAGACCATCTGATCGTCTCGGGAGTGCAGGGGGACAGCGGGGTGCTCGTCCTGTCTAAACAGGTGCTCTGAGCGCAGGCTGTGGGGCAGCAGAGGCCTTGCGCTGCTCTGACCGTGTTCTCCTTGTCCAGTCTTCCCTGGGCTCGGCCTCCGCATCGTCCTTCCAGCCACATGTGCCTTACAGCCCCTTCCGAGGGATGCCACCCTACAGCCAGCTGGCGGCCAGCTCCCTGCTCAGCCAGCAGTATGCGGCCTCCCTGGGTCTCGGTGAGTAACATCTCTGGGAAGCTGTCTGTGCCTGTGACTGTGAGGACGCAGAGCTCGTCTGACTGCTGGAACGCACGTCCTCCTGTCAGTCACCCAGGGACATGTCAGCGAGTCAGAAAGTTTAGTCACCACTCAGTTTAGGGCAGAAGAGGCAGCGGTCTGAGAGGCCAGTCAGAGCTGGTTTGCAGCGCGAGCCTGGGTCTGGGTGGGAGTGCTGGAGCGTCTGCGTTCGTGAAGAAATCGTTGGTGTGGTTACAGATGGGCCCTGACCGTGTGCGCGTGCGTAAGCCAGTAGTTATAAAAGCCGTTTTCACAGTCACCGTTGTACGGTAAGTTGCAGCTGAGGTGGGCCACCCCGAGTAAGATGCTGTCCTGCCCACATCCTTAATTGGACACGGCAGACGTGTCCAGAACTGCCCCGGTGCGTCCGCTAGTGGGGAGACGCAGAGGTGGGCTGCACTGTGACCAGACCCCAAACCGTGTCTGCTTGCTGCTTACCGTGAAGCATCCTGTCTGTCTCGGTTGCTGTTCTTGGTGGGACAGGTGGCCCTCTCAGCCTGCTTGCCAAGGTTCTAACACACGTCGTGTGAGCGTGTGTCCCGCGGGAGGTTGCTGGGTGCTTTCCAAGCTGGCCGGACGTGAGACGGTGCGTCGTTACTGATGTGTGTCCTCTCTGTTTTTGCTCTTTTCTCCTTCCTCTTCCTTCAGAGAAGTTGGTCAGCCCTCCCGCCTCAGCCGCTGCTTCCAGCCCTAGTTCTTCTCCGTCTCCACAGCCCGTGTCAGGGCTTGACGTGTCCTCAGAGCCGCACCAGCTCCCTCCCAAGGGTAACGGCACCGCTGGGGAACTGCATGCTGTCTCGTGAACCACTCAGAGCTGGGCTGACCTCGTAGACCAGCAGCACGGGGCTGTAGAGAGCACGGGTGACCCACAGACTAGCAGCACGGGGCTGTAGAGAGCGGGGGTGACCCGTAGGCCAGCAGCACGGGGCTGTAGAGAGCGGGGGTGACCCACAGGCCAGCAGCACGGGGCTGTAGAGAGCACGGGTGACCCACAGACCAGCAGCACGGGGCTGTAGAGAGCACGGGTGACCCACAGA